TACTCAATCTAACCATATTACTCACAAGTTTGAGTAGTGCCTCACAACAACCGCAGGCCTCCCGGTGAGCGGGGTAGGGTATCTCGCAACATCGATCGATACACTTGAGATTCGCACATCTGACTTATCCACATTTTGTATCATTCTCTTGATAACACTTCCCGTTTGATTCCATTTTACCCCTTCCTTATCGATCAACCAAAATGACTAGTGTAAAATCAATGACCTAAACCAGGGCACGGGATTTCTTGGTTAACGGTTGTATAACTGAAATCATAGACACGATCTGTTGAAGTGTTATTCACTAATTTTGCCAGAGCNGCTTACAAGTCATGAGTTTTCTGCACCCGATCCGGTAGTATCATTCTCTCTGATTTGTTCAGTCTAGGAATGATCGTCATCATCATCATCATCATCATTGCCTATCGCAGGCCGCTGACAAACCTATCTTGTGTAGTAACTATACAAGGTGGTTAGAAAGTAGAGAGCCTTGAAGGGAAAAGAGGAAAATAAACCAATGTGATGAACACGGCGCGTATTCCAGCGATATACACACCCCCATTTAAAATAGCCCAATCTGCTAGAGCATCGTAACAAAACTGGTAGTGCTATTGATTCGCTTTCACATTGTTTTCAGTTCAGGATCACGGTTAGGAAATCGGGAGACATTCGCCCTACACACGTTTTCCACGCAGTTTCTGGGACGTCAGCTCCACATTCCTTGTTAACCTTCGCGTGGTTAACTTCACCTGAATACATCAACAACAAACAAGGCATTGCACGTTAGATACCTGCTAGACATGTGTAACACGTATTCCTACTGGCGGAGTAGGCACATTTTTCTCTCTTGGGATGGGAGAATATCTAGAAGATAATATCAAATTATTCATTTGCAGATGGAACTAACCAACGTGTTCACTCTGTACTGACCGTCGACTGAATGGTATAGATCACAAATTGGTGAGTGATTTTAATCCTACAGTCAAAGGGGCTGAATGCATCTCCCGGTCGCGGAGAAGGAACCGGTCAATTTGGGTGGTTCACCATCAGTAATAGGTATCGCTTTTTCTGAACAATTGGTCCCGAACGATCAGCAGCGATTCCCACCGGACGTCTCAGATGTTCTGTCGTCACGAAGTCTCCATACTAAAAAAAAGCTACAGCATCATGCGCGAAACCAGTTCACTGTTAACTAAACCTGTCCTCATTACCCAAATGGCTCCACTCGCTGGAGGCTCATTTTTGAAGAACAAAATACGGTGTTCTTGTGTGTGTACCATTCTGCATTTAGTTCTTCGTGGATTCCTTCAATAAAACCGATTCATCATCCTCGTATGAGAAAAAGAAAGATTCTTCTGACGGCACATCAGTGAATGTGTTTGCCTGTGCTAACCACTCGGTTATCATTCAAATTTTCGAAAAGTGATCGTGAGTGAATATTGCGAAAAACTGATCGGCAGGCAGTTCTGTTGTGGGGTATTTAAGTATTTTCAACCGTAGAATTACTTCGTATCCCAGACTAGAATGTGCATTCGATGAAAAAGCCTGAACAAGGCAGTTAGTAGTTCCCACAGTTCGCGATTAATTCTCATTCAGCTGATTGGATTAGACACATTCTGTACGGGAATTGTCACTTCTCTAGTGTCCATTGCTACCAAAGCCTGGAAACGCCGTCAGTTATACCATAAAACGGATTGGTTCATGGAGTGGACTGCTTAGACATTATGGCGTTACCGGGACGACACGTCCGAACGGTCAGCAAATGCACGCGAGCACAACAATCGATCGGCATGCGCGCCAAGCGATCGATTATATAAACAGTCAACCTCATCGAATCACTGACTGTACAAACGGTGTCAATCCGCAAGCAATGCAGGCAGTTCCCAAAGTACTCACTTTTTATCTGTTTTTCTTCGTAAATTCAATTCAATTCAATTCATCTGATTACAAAGTAATACAGTTTTGTCATGGATTTTCATTTGTGCTTAATTTAATGTCTGTATTATATAGAACAAGAACTTTTTCTGCTTCTACGGGTTTGCATATTTCACTTTCCTGGTTTTAACATTGCTACACTGTNTTGCAAAATTCTCTCAATCATAATCACTACAGTAGCAGTCGTTTTCACGACCAGTCCTACGATGCTCGATTTCCGTTTTCCATCTGCGCAATTCCGATCATCGCTTCCACCTGTTCCCCACTTTTATCCCCCGCACCGTCTATACAGTATCAGTTCAGAGAAACGGGCATCGATCGGCCGCGCTTGCAAGCGATTGATTGACTGGGGTCGATTATGTTTCATACGTGATGAATTGCACTTTGATCAGGTCAAACTTCTCCCGTACACTTCTACTAATGTGACTGTAGAGAACTTTGTGCTTGTTACCGGAACGCCCGGCACTGTTTCCGCCGGTTGAATTTTGCGCCATCTCGTGCTTTGTGATCTATTAACTGTATATCTATCGGTCCTCCTCCTATTTTTGATCCTGATGATATTTTTATCGAAAAGTAATTTAATTTATTGCCAAACCCTGATAGACACGGATTGACGAATTTTCAAATTGAATTTCATCGTTTGGGGTTAACACCCAGCTAGCACTAGTTCGTACTCGCTAGAGTTTGTTAACTACGCCTACCTCTTGAGGATGAATATGATTAGTCGTTTTAGCATAATCTCATGTGTACGGCTTATACATATCGACTATTCTCATAGGAGCGTGGAGTGCATTTTTTCGCCTTGTTTCAATTTTGCTCAGTTCATGCAATCCATTGGACTGTTTGTACCAAGGTAATCCTGCGTTATTAGTTCGTCTACGCGAAATCGACTAGCTCCCTGATGACAGCCACTGAGTTTGCAAATTGTTGCGGNGGGTAGGCGAGCCATTACTATCAATTCTATGTAAAGCTTTCAATTAGTCCTTTGGTTCACCTCATCTCACCACTCTGATGGACTAGTTCATTTACTCGTGCTACTTGTGCTCCTTCCCTTTCGAACCCCCTTTGGGCAAGTGGGTAATGCCCACTCCAACTATTCCCTCCTTACTCTCACAGTATATAGTACTCACTGTTCGCCCTCTCTTTTTCAATAAATATATATAACCTAAAATGGGGTTACTCATGGTCCCTGTTGCGCCAATTGTTTGGACCGATGGTACGGAGAACCCTAGAGCTTCGTCTAAATCACCAGGTTCGATTGTATAATAGATTTTACGAGTACCGCTATCATCATCATCATCAATCAATCAATCGTACAGCGAAATACCGTGAAGGGAACTTCACTGACCGCTGCCAAAAGCCATCCTGTGTAGCTCGTTGGGTGCCCAAGCCATCACACTGCGTCAAGGTGCAGTCTCGTTGAGTACCGCTAGTTTTCTTGTTGGTGCGTATTTATCATAGTGTGAACCCGTCCACTCACCAAATCCATCTATTTCACGGGACAAGCGTTTGAGTTTACAACATTTTTAAATATCCCTTCTCGTTCCCTCCTGCGTGGGATTCTTTCCCTGTTGTTTGATTTGAAAAAAGTAGCTCTCTCTTCGATAATACTGTGTTTTTTAGGGTGAATGCATGCACTAGATGTTCGCAAAATACAAATACATTCGGCTCCATTCCGTTTATTCACGTTCAGAGGGCCTCTTTGAAATACTCTTGACTCGCATTCATATCCGGTTTGATGGTTTTTTTCCCGGCTTTCCAGTTGGCCGGACAAACCTCTCCGTATTTTTCCACGTATTGAAATGCATCTAACAGACGAATCGCTTCATCAATTGATCGACCCACGGGTTTGTCATTGATGGTTATCTGACGCAGTATGCCCTTCGTATCGATGATGAACATACCGCTAGAGGAGGAGGAGGGTGGATGGATTTCAAATGTTTCATTAATCCATACCAGGTGGTTGTAGTCATTCGAAAGCAATCAATGAGTGATCAATTCAAGATGAATGGGGTCTGTAGTCGATTGATTTCTTTTTGTTATGAATAAGGCTGAATAAACTGGTGCTTTATGGTGAACTCTTTCAAGGATTGAAGTTGACTACGCCAGACTTGATTATGCGGTTGACGATGAAAAGATTCTAGTTATCAGCAGAGTTGTTGGAAAGAAACGTTTAAGGTAAACAAGTAATCATCGGCACTAAATCCTCATTACTCTCTATTTGCTCCCTGTAAGTTGTTTTACGCTTCATCGGCCGACGGAACTAATTTCCAACAATAGCTTTTCGCACCGGTCAAATAAAATTCTGTTGCATCTCACTTTGTAATGAAAAGTAGAGCTTCGCTCAAAATAACCCGCAACTTAACTTAGTAGGTAATGGGTAAAATTAGGCGTTCGCTGGTCTCGAGGAACACCCATTTGGTAGTGAGCAACGAAAATGAAAGTTCCCCAAAACAGATACCGCAGTGGAAAGTAGAAAACAATGCACAGAATAGGTCCACGTCTGAATTAATACTTTCGTTTTATACTACCTTAGGTTTTGCGTCGTCATGAGACGGATCTGGTTGCTGCCCATTTTAATGCAGGAGCAAGTGATAGCTTTAGAAAGCTGAGAGCATTGTTAATTTGAGAATACGGAAGCGAGTAAACTAGATCTGGTTGCAAAATCAAGTAAATGGACCCGGTCCTGTGCGAAAACACTTTCACACCAGTTTAGAGAACAATATGTCGCGGATCGCTTTCACGAACACAGAACGCTAAATAATGAAAGGTAAAACTAGTTAGATATTCTCTGCAACTTGTTGTTCACTCAGCAGCATTAGTACTTCTATTTTGTGAAGCAAATTCGACTGATTGATGGATCGAAGGTGAATAAAGATCCAATTATCTGTCCCCAGTTTGGCGGTAGTTGGATATACCCTTTCGTAGGGGTAACGAGCATCCTATTTGGAAGTGTCCAGTTTGTGGTTTAATCCGGGATATGAATTACGGTTGGTTTATTCACAGCGATATGTGTGAAGAGAGACCCTCGTATTAGTGAGGGAACAGTGCATTTTGCCATGAAAATTTTCACATCACATTTGTATGTGTCAATTAAATTGGGGCGAAATGTAGGTTGGTCTACTTACCGAAACGTGTCTCCTTCCTCCTCGTCCAGAACACCATAAGCCCGAGAGATACACATGGTTTTGTCTGCCAAAAGAGGAATATTCATTTTACCCAACCCGCCTTTTTTACGCTCCATATTGGTCCACGCGAAATGGCAGTATTGTGAGTCGGTCGAACAGGCCACAACTTCGCAATTTCTATTGCGGAATTCTTCAATGCGGTCACTGAACGCGATAATCTCTGTTGGACAGACGAAGGTGCTAATGCAGAAAGAGAATGAAGTAAAAACGTAATCAACAGCGGATCGTACGAAATATAAATAAGCATTCCNTCTTTATCACTGATGTGTTTGAGCGCTTCAGAATGAATCCCGGCTTTGTGTGCAATCAATGAGTTTCTAACGTTCGTCAACGCTTTAGTCTTATATCGCTCGCAGTTGAATTATTGCACAAATATATTTATTCTGGCTTATGACAATTTTCGAAAACAGTGACAGTGCGTATCAAACTGAAATTAACGTAACTGACGAATCGGAGGGAGGGAAGAAGGGATGTCAGGAACTTACAAATCAGCTGGATAGAAGAATATCAACAGATACTTTCCTTCATAGTCTTTCAATGAAATCTCTTTGAATGTTCCATCAACCACGGCTGTACCCTTGAAGTTTGGTGCTGGTTTGTTCGGCTGGAGTACCATGTTTGATGTGGCAAACTGTAACAGAGTTGTAAGAACTGAACAGTCCAATTCACGATTTATACCTTGAAAGTGTACTTAGTAGACCGGTTTGCTAACCCAAGCACCAATTGTAAGTGGATAATTTTGGACGAACCTGATTGGTCCGTTTGATGATAATGAAACTCACGAATCTCCGGGCACAGATTTGTGGAAAACAGTCTACGTAAGAATTTTACAGTGCGTTTTATGATTCGCTCGCAGATACCGACTAATCGGTGTCATACAAAGTCAAGTCATGTGGCCTTGGAATTCAGTTTTTCTCTTCAATATGAATTACATAAATTTGTATTGATTATTTGATGTTTTCCTCGAAGCTGTATTATGCAATCAACAACCACAGAATTCATAAGATCAGGTCAAAGGTTTCTCTGTTTGATGCGTGGGCAGTTCCTTGCAAGAACAACACCCTCCCAGCCTCGAATCATTCCTCCCATGTGTCGACCCTGTTTATGATGTTCACAACCGAATTATAGCAGTGAGTATCAGAATCAAAATAAGCGTGGATAGTAGCTAATGACAAACTCAGAGTGCAACCCTCTTTAGATCAGCCGCCATGCCAATGTATCTGTGTTTAGCGTGAGACTGTTGTTTGTTTGTTCTAACGGCCAGCCACAGCTTTGGAAGCACAGTTCACCCGCAATGAATCGGAGTAGAGAAGCCGAAAGCACAGGTTTGTACAATGTGTTTTGGATCATTAGGTTGCCTCTGTGATTCAAGTGATCAATCATACATGATCAAGATATTGATAGGTATAGGGATTTGTTGTGTTGTATGAAGGACCGACCACAGCTCTGAATTCACTCAAAATACCCTGCAGGTTGACCCCGGGTAACGCAGTCCGAGTAATTGCACAACCAGCGTCGCCCCTAAAAGTCCGCACAACCCCTGGCCACTTACCGACACTCTAAAAAAACACAGGCAGGACACACTTATCACATTATGTTCTTTGCGAAGAGGGCCGGGGGGGGGATCTTCTAGAGGCAACAAGACAGGGAAAATACAAAAAGCAACCATGAAATAAAAAGGTCAGTGAGCCATACACACGACTCACACTCAAATCAAAATGGCTGCCTCCTTGTCTTCACTATACTTGTCGTTGGTTGCGGGACATTCCGGAATATGACATCAGACGGGAGTTAGCGGCATTAAAGCACTCTCTCGTGTTTGAAATCCCGAAATTAAGAAGACAAAAAAGTCAACATGTATATATCCAGGGGCATCCGGAATTCTCATACGTCAAACAGTAAGATTCGAAATCTCAGTCTCACTATTGCAGACAACTGGTAGTTAGAAATCACCAACCGGAAGGAGAGTTACACGTCGGTAGTTAGCGGGGTCACTACGACAACCACCCTTGTATATGGATGGAATAACTCCTTGTTTCCACGATTGTGGGCGTTTTTTTGGTCGAACATTCGGTGGAATAAAATGGCTTGTGCTTCAAATATGTGATTAACCAAAAAATTTAGGGGTTTCGAGCATATATAGTCCGCATCTAGGGTGAATTTTTTCGCAAAGCCATTAGTTTTGCTTTGAAGTCTTCATTAGTAAATGTTACGTTGGTCAGCGAAGGATATGAAAGATGATGCGACTGGGGAGGTAGCTATAGACTTTCAACCGGTGGTGCAACCAAAACGTCGGAATACTGAATTTTCAGCATTTTAGATGCTTCCGCTGGAGTGGCTGCAACTCTTCCAGCGCAGCTCAGTGCCGGTATTCCAAACGTGACTTTCCGAATTGACTCAACGTGCTTATACAACAACATAAGGTTAGAGATGAATCTCTGTGCTAGCACCTCTTGGTACATCAGTTACTCCTCACAAATCGGTTTGGTACGATGGTTCCTCGGCAAACGCTAATTATTTGAAGTGGCAGCATAGTAGTAATGTTAGTAATACGCACGCAACTCTAGCATCAAGGATAGGAACTAATCAGGAATCACTATCGAATCACGGAATGCCATTGGTAGTTGTCTGAGAAAGTCAGGAGTCAACAAAATGCAAGAAAAAGAACAAATGTAGCGGTTCATTTATTGAATACAATCAGTGGAATCAATGATATCTAAAAGGAAATGACTTTGCTGCTTAGGCATTAACGAATACCCGCTCGTATTCACTTCGTCACAAAGCTCCCGTTTAAGACGCGTGATGTTTTGATTGATCGATACTGTTAGCCTCTTATTCATTGTCCTGAAACCGCTGTGCGTAGCCCCTTCGTTGGCGTTATCTGAGATGCTTGGATGATCAAAAATACTCATATATTCTCTGGGGCATAAATCTGCTTGTGCTTCTGCTAGATCGGAGAAAATGTCCTGTAATGATCGAAAAAGAGCAGTTTACAGCTATTTGGCACTCGTTCACAGTGTATCCTTTTTATTTCATGCAACCAGTTCCCTTTAACAATTTCATGAGAGCAAGAAGAAGCATCATGATC